TTAAAAATAGGTAGGGAAAGGACTGACATGTACTCTGGCTATTCTGCTCTACTTCTGAAATGCTGGTTTCCAAGAATTGTAGCCCCTGTCAAATTACTCAGTAGTATTTACCTCTCATTTTTTCTGCCATATCAATAACTAGCACTTGTCATCTTTAAAGTGCTTCTCAAACATTAAATAATCTCAGATTACATACTCTGTTCTTTGCATTTATCTCGACCAGCTGTCAGAGAAGGCCATTTATTCACCCTCAATTTTATTCCTCTTGGCTCTATGTGGCTTTTGCAGTAAATTTGAATGGAAAATGAAAGGTACAACTTAATATGTTTTATAACAAAGGCGACATAAAATTTTCTTTAAGCACGATAACCTTCAGGTTACTTTCAAGTTGTTTATTGCTTTGCAGTTGTATAGTGAATATGTTTTTATCAGTATTGAGTCTGAATTTTTAAGTGGAAATTTTGAGGACATGAATACAATAAAAAATACAAAGGACATCTAGAATATAATTTACTATTAAATTTATCATTTTCACCTACTTAAAAATTATACCATAATCATCTTGTCAGAATCATAAAAGGAATTCAAATTATATCCATTCTGTAAAAATATATATTTTGTATTTTTAAACTCTGAACTTGCATTAATTCCTGAATTTATAGTTTCCTACTTTTCTAATCAGAAAAGGAAGCAGTTAGAAATACATGTTTCTTTTTTATTGGTGCATTATTATTGTACTCACTGATGGGACTTGTTGTTACATATTCATCATATACACAGTATAACCATATAATTTGGCCACTATTACTCCGTAGAATTTCTCCCCTCCAGCCCCACTTGCTACACCTTTGTCACTTTCCTCTACTGTCATATTTCTTTTAAAATATTCAACCTTTAAGAATTTGACAAAGATACAGCTAGTTTGTGTCAAATCTTAGGAAATTTATATTTTCAGTTTCAAGATACCTAGCAAGCGTGTTTGACATTGTCTGATGCCCAAATACACAACTCACTGAAGTGAATCTCAAGTGCAGAAACCATTCTTCAGATGTTCTCCACTTAGTATCAGTAGAAAGCCTTCCAGAGGCAATAAAAACTGGAGATTAGCAACATATCAATTTTCAGGCCGGCTACTCCTAAACACTCTTAATTCATTTACTCTCCTGCAAATCATTATTCTGAAGGTTTGATTCACTTGTAGCCCCACTTGGGTCTTAAATCTCATTTCAAAGCACTCTTATCATTCATCTATTTTCAGAACTATCATTAGGAGTGATGGGAATTTGAAACAAAAATCAATGAGAGGATATGATATGGGTTCCTTATTACTTTTCCTTCTTTGAGCACCATGTCAAGTATAGTCTATAAAAATCTGTTTTTTAAGGGTAGTTCTCCATCTTGCTATCATTTCTACTCAAATGAGTTCATGAACTTGGGATGTTTTTTTCCACAATTTTTTCAGGAAAGCAAAATTTGTTGTCATTATTGTTAATTTCTACCTAAAATAATTTAAAAATCTTAATTGAATTCTTTTACTACTGTTGTTCTTCATTAGCTTATTAACTTTTAGAAAATATAGGCCTTGGTAGGCTACTTCTATCTAAAAAATACTGCATTAGTTATGTTTGGTTGTTATCACCTACAAATATGTACTCTTTTTTTTAAAAAAAAAATGTTGATTGACCTTTATTTATTTATTTATATGCAGTGCTGAGACTTGAACCTAGTGCCCCATGCATGCCAGGCATGTGCACTACAACTGAGCCATAACCCCAGCCCACAAATATGTACTCTTGAATGAATTTAATTTTTCTTTACTCTGGGACTCAGAGTGGTATGTCACTAATTTTTGAAAAAAGTAAGATAGTGTGACCTTTTATGGCAAAAGAAATGAAAAGAGTGAGACTATTAATTGGAGAACATAATTTGCAAATAGCATTGTTCCTCCTCCCAATATCAAATTGTATTATGAACTGAATTCATACTATATTCATACTATAAGCATCTGTGAATATCTTTGTTAAAATGGCTCAAACTTTATTTTTCGAGTTTATATGTATAATGTTTATACTACAAAGAAATAACTTTTTTTGCATAGTTCATTTCTCTTAATTTTGCCAGTGGGGCAAAACAACCTCTAATTATATGAATAAATTAGCATGTTTTCCTCTTTACTTATATTCCAAGAAATAAATGAATTGATTGGAAAGGATACTGAGAGAATTTTAGAACTCTTTTTTGTTCCCCATACCCATCTTGATCTAATATATGTGCTTATTCAATGGGAAAAGTGCTCACATTTACTTGAGGGTCAGTTCTTCTGCCTTCACTTCTGACGTTAATCCTGCCCTTCTTGAGTTTCCTTATGACAGCAGTAGTAATCATAGCCAGAGCCATGATCATAGAAGTAGCACTGGAGGTGCTAATGGCAGTAATGAAGACAGTAATAATGATGTCATTTAGTGGTTCTTGTGTTGCCATTTGTCAAATAATTACCATGTACCAGGAGATATGCCAAATGGTTTGCATGACTTTTCTTTTCACCATCACAAGCCTGCAAATTCAACCTTAAACCAGTTTCTTTTCCTAAATGGAAATTCTTCTTGCTCAGAAAGATAGTGTGATAGTGAAATTCCATCCATTTAGATAATACAGGGAGGAGCCAGAAGTTAATTCCAATCTCCTCTCTACAAGCATGTAAATTTTTTTGCTTCACCATTTCCACATGAAATACATATCCAAAAGAAGGAATTGTGAAGGCAGATAAACAGAATAAGGTGCACTTTAATTCCACTGAGGCTTTCAAGGAATATAGAAAATTTCTTCCAGATTTACAAGACTAAAATCTTCTAATTATTATTTAACACACTTTAACTACAATTAAGCTTTAAGCTAAGGGAAATTTACTTGATGAAAATGTTAAATAAAATTGAAAATTTAGATTTTCTGTAGAATCTAATGCATAAAAATATTATAATTTAGAGATAAATAGTGAAATTGAAAATATGTAATCTTGTGTATAGACTAATCAACATTTTCTCCTTTTGATTTGGAATTATTATTACAGATAATGTGGTCTATACTCAATATACATGAAAATATAATAAATGATGCTTTTGGCAAAAAAAATAATTGATGAAAGCTTTTTTTTCTCTTTAGTATTGAATGATTTACTACACACCTGAGAAATATGGAAATGAGAATGTTATGAAAGTCTCCTTAATTTTTTAGTCAGTCTTCAGTTTTCTTAAAAATGCCATGAAATGGTTATTTCAAGAAATCTCTGAATTACCTCTGGATTTAATTCTCTAAAGGTCAAGTGTGGTTAAGATAATCAGATATGTCCACTGACCACTAAGGGGGACTTTCAAGCCATACATTGACAGAAATGTTATGAAGTAAAGTGAAAGACTAACAAAATTGTTATATTTCACTCTGTATATAGAAATGCTATAAGAGGAAAAGGTAAATAATTGAAGCAAAACTTGCAAGGCTAAGGTTATAAAATATTATCTTTGTGAACATGTGCCTGTGCGTTTGTGTGTGTGTAAGTAGATTTCAAGCAAAGTTAAAGAAAAAACTCACAAGAAATACAAAGGAAGGAAAACTAAACATTAACTATTTATCTCAAGTAATCAGTGAATTGTAAATGAAGCAAAAATTTTTCTCTTATATTATTGCACATATTTTAAATACCAGTGATAATATTGATATGCATAAGGAAGCAAGACTACTATAATTTTCCAAAACATCAATTTTAAAATTATATATATGTATACATAGTCTCAAAAAATATAAAAGTGAGTATGTTATTTGTATCAGCAATTCTCATTTAAGAATGTCTCCTGAAGGGAGGATTGTTGATGGGTTTGAGAAAATTTCTGTCATATCATAAGCTAGGAAACTTTATGACTAAATTATATACAGTCATAAAATGACATTCCATGCAGCCACATAAGTAATATTTAAAGGGATACCTAATAATATGAAAGCTTGTTGATTTTATATTGTCTAGCAAAGAAAACAAAAAGGACAGTGTAATCGTGATTTGTCAAAAACAAATAAAACATTTATATATTTATATATACATATACACAAAACTAGGTGCAAATAAAAAACATGTTAACAGAAGTTGTTTCTGGAAGAAACAACTGGATATAATAAGATCTTCCAAGATTATTATAATACTGGATATGATAAGATTCTCCAACATAATTCTCTTCTTTGCCCTGCCCAAAAAAAAAAAAAAAAAAAAAATCAGAAAAACTTAATGACCTCAATAGAAAATTATTAGGGAGGATAGTAGATTGAAACAGGCATTATTATTACTGTGTGGATATATATGAATGCATGATCAATGTGATTCTGCAACCTGTATACTCAGAAAATTGAGATATTATATCCCATCTGATTCAAATGTATGATATGTAAAGGTAATTGTACTGTCATGTGTAACTAATTAAAACAAATTAAAAAAAGAAAACGTACATCACAAAAAAGAAAACTATTATGCAGTTAAAACAGGATATCCATATAGAGTTCTATCCACTTTATTTTATCACTGATTTCAAATCTCTCCTCAGAGAGTATGTTTTTACTGATTTTCAGAATTGACATATTGAACCTAAAGAAATAAAAATTATTTTAAAAGGCATCTTGTTCCAAAAGCCTATTGCTCTTGGAAATGGTAGGGGAAATGGTAACAGAGAAGTGAAAATGAGTGGAAGAAAATGAATAGGTTTCATGGCCTGGATGGGAGCATAGATGGAACTTGGGAGATGAGAAATGCTTATGAGCCAAAAAGGTTTCAGGGTGAGGGGTAAATGCAGAGGAAGAGACAATGTGGGAGTGGGTTGGGAGGTGGGGGACTGCTGCTGAGCAAATATGATCTACTATAGAAAATGATAGAAACAGGTTACAAAATTCATAGTTTGTGTTTTTTTCATCAACATTCGATGTGAATTTCTAAATTATATTTTCCTTATTGAATGTTTGATTAGGAAATGCATCTACAACCACAACTGTGATAGACAGCAAAAATGGATCTGTGCCCAAATCCCCTGGAAAAGTGCTGAAGAGGACAGTCACAGAAGACATAGTGACGACATTCAGCTCACCTGCAGCCTGGCTTCTGGTCATTGCTCTGATAATAACCTGGTCAGCTGTTGCCGTTGTTATGTTCGATTTAGTTGATTACAAGAACTTTTCAGGTAAGATCCAGGAGGTTTGACTTTTAAATTAAAAGAAAAAAAATGTTCTCCCTAGTTGTGGCTTTGTTTCTCTGCATTCCATCCTGTATCCTGCCAGTGTGATTGAAGGTCACTGAAGTCAGTTTTCTTCTCTTTTCCTCCTGTTGTCTTCCTTTGTCTGTTCTGCTTTCAGGGCTGAATAAAGGCTGACTAATGCAGCTTTGTAAAGATAAGTATTAAAAAGCTTTAGTGGAGATTGAGTTTTGGAACTGATACTTCATCAAGTACCAATAAAGACTAATTTGTAGATTTTACACTTGGTAATAAAAAACTAAACCAAACAAAAAAGATTTTGGACAAGTGAAAAGTAAAGTATTTCTTTTGCTTTAGTCATCCAGTCCCAAGTTTCATTTGTAGACATGCTCCTTCTTCCTCCCAGCAAACCATCGTCTTTTGAGTTCCTGAAAATAAAGAATGTTAGAAGGATTTTCTTGGCATTAGCTTGTAATGAGATACTACATCTTGAGCGTCCATATGTTCTTATGAATTTGGAGTAAAATAGGAATAATACAAGTTAGAAAGGGAAGATGTTCATTGTGATCTGTTCAATCCCTGAGCACCTCATTCATCTTTTCGTTCCAGAACTTTTTCTTAATTTATATTTACCTAGTTCCACATTTGCTACCCCAAGTTGACTGTGAGTTCCTGGAGGAAAGGAATAGGTGTGGTGTTCAATAACTATTTCACAAGTAGATGGATGAATTATGCACATCCCTTTTATCACAAGCAAAAGAATTTCATTAATCAATTGAGGTGCTTTCTTATATGTGTACTCTTCCTTCCCTTATTTTCCTTTTTCCAGTAGGAGTAGACTCAGTAGAACCCAGAGACTCTAAGTTCAACTAAAAAACTCTATATTCAGGGATCTGCAGGCTTCTCATTTTAAATTTCACTGATTCAACAATTATTTATCAAGTTTTTACATAGTGTCAGGAAATGCCTGTGCCACAAATGTCAAAAGAAATACAACTTAAATATCATGAATGTATAGAACTCTATTATTTGAGTTTATGAGATGAAGGTATGACTTGGATGACTTCTCCCAGGTATACCATTCACAGTTGGACTATAGGTGGGCCTTGTCTAGCAAGCAAAGATAAGTCTCATAATGTCAACCAAAGCAGAAGAGCAATTTATCCAGGTACATGAATTTCTGCTTTAATCAGGCAATACTTTTTTGTGTTCTGTCATGTAGACTCTTAAAGAATTTACAATTGAAATGGCTATAATATAAAATTATGACCTTGATATTTTAAGTGAGAAATGCTTGGTAACAATGTGATACTTTAGGAAATTCCATTCTCTTTGAGCCTGTACCAACTGTAGTGTTTTACCTCTCATTTCCTTTTTTTAAAAAAAAATCATTTATTTAAATTTTAGAACCACATATGATTGTAAAATATAGTTTTTTTCTTTCTTACAATAGACATGTATGAGTGGCATGTAAATGTCATCTTTGCAAGTTAATGATTTTATGAGAACACTATGGAAATTAGCACTGAAAGACATTTGTTTTTATTTTATAAAATGCAGTTACCTACAATTATAGTTTCAGACTAGAGTATTAAAATGTAAGACATATTTTCCATTGGACCACTATAATTAGGTGCAATGGATAATACCTAGGTTACTGGCATTTTATCTGACAGGGAAAAGTAGAGCTGTGTTATTGACACTTCATCTTGTCTTTCATAAGTGTTTATTAAGCACATCTTTTATGTAAGGCCTCCTTTTTCAGGTTCCCATATTTATTAATGACATAACTATCAATCCATTACCCACAAAAGGAACCTTAAATCACTTTTTAAGTCTCCTTGGATGCTGAGCAGTCAACATAGTCAAAGACCATGTGCTTACATGGCTCTTAAATTTGGCTTTCTCCTCTCATTACCATATCACCATTACAATACTTCATGCATTCATTCTCTTTGGAGGGCACTCATGTCATTTCTTCTTAGCTCCTTCATCTTCTCTGTATCCACCCAATTGCTCTAAAGACATCTTCATAAAACGCACATTTGATCAATTAAGATATTTTCTATTGCTTAAGTATAATGAACTCCTTGGCATGAAATTCAAGTCCTTGGCTTAGCTCTTAATTTTTATTTTGTAAGTCAGCATATGTACCCTGTTTTTCAACCATGTTTCCTTCTGCTTTTCCCTGTTGGTCCCAGGAAACAAACTCTCATTCCTTCCTAACTTTGCTCATACCATTTCTCCCACTCCAACTCCCAGTAGAGCAGAAAGAATAATAGTTAATAGCTAAGACTAGAAGTCTGATGCTTCATTTCCTTGGTATAAATTTATACTTTAGTATTTGCTAGCTCTGTGATATTGGGGACATTATCCTCTCTTTGCCTTAGTTTGTTCTTCTATAAAGTAGGATTTCAAATAGTACTTATGCAGTAGGATTGTTAAGAGAATTATATGATGGAATATATTTGAAATGCTTACAATAGAACCTGATTTATCATAAGTACTGTTATAGTGTGAATATTGATAATACTAGGAGTAGAGACTCATTCCTCAATATTCCTTCTGAGAATGTTTACTAATACTTCAAGAACCATCCTTCTTCTGTAAAGCATTCTGAGATTCATAAGAAAAATGCACTGTACCTTATGGGCAACTGTATTAAGAGCAATTAACACCCTGTATTCTAAACCTTTGTTGACTTGCCCTTCTCACTCAGAAACATAAACTTATCTAAGAAAGGACTGTTTTTATCTCTGTATGAAAGTGCCAGCCAACATAGTAAGTTTCTGAAATTCATTGATAAGAGTAAATAATGCTAACATTTTGATTTTGAAACAATTTCTTATATTTCACAAAGAAGCATATTTATATAATTTTATTTTATTTAATTCAGTAGCTTTTGAACAACCTTAAAAATTAACAAAGCAAATATAATGATATTGGAATGAATAAAATAAATGCTTATGAAGTGAGATTTTATTGGTCACATTTTATAGAACAATTTATATGCATACTAAATTACTTCAAAAAGTAAGTGGTTTAAAACAACAACAAATATTTATTATTTCATATGGTATCTATGGGTCAGTAATTTGAAAATGCATTGGGTGGTATTGCCTTAGGTTTTGTCTTGAGATTGCAGTGAAGCTATCAGTTGGGGCGGCAGTTAACTGAAAGGTTGACATGAGTGGTGGAATATTTGCAGGACATCTTACTTGGTTGTTAAATCAATGCTGGTGTGTCCATGCACAAGGCAGATGGCTTTACCCAAAGTGAGAGATATAAGAGAACAAAGCAGAAGCCAGAGCTCTTATGACCTAGACTTGGAAATCCCAGAATTTCATTTCTGCAAAATCCTTTGGGTGACACAAGCAAATCCTATTCAGTTTTGGAAGAAACTACATAGGAGTGAGAACACCAGGAGACAAAGATCAGTGGGTACAATTTTGGAATCTTGTTACCATATGTTTCATTCTCATAAAAAGTTATATTGCAAAAGAATACAACTTAATATAAATAATTATGGGTACCTATATTAAGAGCAATTAACACACTATATCCTAGACCTTTGTTGACTTTCCCATCTCACTCAGAAACATAAACTTATCTAAGAAAGGACTATTTTTATCTCTGTATGAAAGTGCCAGTAAACATAGTAAATTTTCTGAAATGCATTGGTAAGAGTGAATAATGCTAACATTTCGATTTTGAAATAATTTCTTTTATTATACAAAGAAGAATATTTATATAATTTTATTTTGTTATACTCTAGTTGACAATAAGTATGTTAATTACAACAGATTCAGAAGAATATGATGTGTTAGAATGACTGGCATCATGAGGCTATATTTAGGATGATAAAAATTCAGGAATGGATTTGAAATGAAAAAAAAATCACAAAGCTTTAAATTTTAAAGGAAAATATATAAATTCTTCAAATAAGAAATTCAAATACATTTAGCTCATTAAAATTTAAATAATCAATTCTAAAGCCAAAAGTATATATATTCAAAGATTCAGTGGAATTATAATATAAAACCTTTACTTTATATTCATTTTATGTGGATGGGATACATTCTCTGATATGAAAATCTAATCCCATTTATTCATTTAGTAAGGTCTAAACTATCTTGTTTATGTCAGTTCTTCCAGAAAAGGATATTTACTTCAATAACAGTTTCAACATGTAAATGGTACTCTAATTCTTTTTGGGAGGGGGGGTTGGGGGTGGGGGTAGGGGTGAGAGACAGGGATTGAACTCAGGGGTCGTCCACTGAGCCACAGTCCTATTTTGCATTTTATTTACAAGACCCTGTCATGTCTCACAGAGTTACTTAGCACCTTGTTTTTGCTGAGGCTGGCTTTGAACTCATGATCCTGCTGCCTTCTCAGCCTCTGGAGCTGGCTGGGTTTACAGGCATGAGTCACCATGCCTGGCTCTTGTGTTTTTAATGTTAATTTTAGTGGATATGATTAAGAATATTACTGGGGATTAATATTGTCATCATGATGAGTTTTTGGACCACCTAATAGATTTTGAATGTAATTGCTAATGTTTTAAAAGGAAATCCAACAGGATAAGGAAGCATGGCTGGAGGTGATCCTAAATACTAGAGAGTCAGAGCAGCAGTCGCTGTGTCTTGATTTTCTCTTTGATGCTTTTATAAAAGTAGATAAATACTTTGAAGCCATTATAAAGTTGTTTATAGATAAATGAAAATTTATTTTTGTAAGCACATTCTGTTCTGGATTGAGAGAAATGAGTCTCCTTTGGGAAACCTTCACAATTCCTTGTTTTCAGCATTTGATCTGATTTAGACAAGTCTTATCTACTTGTGGAATGTGTAGAAGGGACTTCTTTCAGAAGTCTCAGTTTCATTTTATACCTCTGTTACCTACAAGCTAACCTGACTAGCAATGTGTTTTTCTGTGTCTTTGAAATGGGGATAGCACCTTGCTTTCTGTATTGTGAAATTAGTGAGTTT